GTGTGTGTGTGTGTGTGTGTGTGTGTGTGTGTGTGTGTGTGTGTGTGAGCAGAAGGAGAAGTGGGGACCTGCGACGCACATGCCTCTGTAAGTGGGTAGGAGGACACAGCCGGACCCTGGCACGATGGGACAGATGGCAGATACACCACGTCCCACCCTGTCTCACCCCCCCTCACCACCAGCCTCCACATGATGAAAGGATAGAATCACCAGTGAGTCCAATTGGAATGAATTTTGGGTGAAAGTAGGCAGAGTTTGACCAAAAGATTGGTTTGTACACACGCCAAAACATATAAATACACTACTACTAAATGAATGAGCACATCAGCACCACTTTAAAGTATAGACTAGTTGTAGTATGACACGAGCAAAGCTTTTCCAAAACATACTCATTTTAATCCGCTTTTTCTTAGCAAGCGGTTCTTTTAATCATGAGTTCAGTAAACTTCAACACTGCTATACACCGGGCCCTGGTGTGCCGAGTTCTGTCCTGTTCAATTATTTGACTCTGATGTAATAGAGCTGCTTTGTCCCCTCTGGCTACCGACCACATTTTCTGCTGATAGGTCAAAAGACTTCATACATCAATGCTTTGATCGTCCTCATGAAAATGTGTACGGAGCAAGAACAGCTCGGTAGTTGTATCGTTCACCAAACTGCTGTCAAAGTTAGAGCTGAAATAAGAAGTCGATCAGCAGGAAATGTATAATCGATTATTTGTTTAAGTTGTTTGTAAAGCAGACATTTGCTCAATCTAAATATAGGGTCGAAATAAAAAGAGCACAGACAAACGTAATCAATTAATTAATACTGTATTTCTTTACAACATCTACACCAAGAAAACACAAGAAGGTAACTGTGTGTTAGGAACCAGGAGACACAGAGGATGCTGCTTTGGACATTTGAATGGCTGCACCAGAACATTGTTACTGAAGCTGCTGGCACAGCTGGTGCTGTAATTGTTGTTCATTTTAATGAGGGATAATCTACTAAACTAAATAATTATGAAATAAACTAAATGACCCTAGATAATAAAGCAGGGTGGTAGAGGACATGGAGGAGAGGACAGCTCTGTCATGCTGATGTAAAGTAAGTACATTGAAAGTGAATACTGACACTTTGTGGAGCAGAAATAAACTAATTTGAACTAGAAATCCACCAGCTTTAATTAGCTTTGGCTGAAGGGATTTAAAATCGTTTTAATTTGTTGAACAGAGATTAAGGCTTGTTCAATCCTTCCCTGGATCCCAAAACAACCCGAGTTCATCCAGTAATACATTAGCCTGCACTTTCATACGTGTGCACGTTTAAATAAAATGATATCTCCATGAAGATACCATATAATCCTGCTGTTAAGCTGTGTGCAGAGGATTTGAGTAACAACACCAACTGTACATGAAGTCATGTGCTGCACATTAAATCTACACAGATGTGTGTACAAAACAACATATAATCAGAAAGAATCTAAACACACACACACAACCTTCAGTCTACACACATCTCCCAACTGAATGACTGTTTGAGTTTCTATTCGCTTTAATCCTGTCAGACAGTAAAATATGGTTTCTTCATTACCTGCTGTAATCATGACAAATTAGTCCCGGTTGGCCTTTTGATGCGGTCCCATCCAGACTTGAGCTCTGTGAAGGTTTGCATTCGATAGGCGACCATCACCGTCACAGCCTGTCTGTCGGTGTCGGAGCAGGCTACTCTATGGCAGCTCCCTTCCATGTGGTCATTTCTCTGTCTGCTCGGCTCTTTTCAATGTGCCCGCCACCCCCGACTCCCACCCTCCTCCGCGCTGACAGTGGGCTCAAACAAAAGGCACCGAACGCGACCACGCACGGCTAAAAAATACACACACCGTCCTCAAGGTACACACACACACGCTCATGTGATTTTAAGTGATAAGCTCAAGTACGCATACACGCAGCGGACGTTTCAACTAAGCCCGACAATTTACTCACTTTTGAAGATATGAAAAGTCAAAAGTCCACGTGAGAGTGGTGAAGAGTAAACTCACTGTGTCTTTTCTCCTCGGACCAGACTGCTGTGACTGATTCATAACAGATGGACGGTTGTTTGTTGCCTTGATGCAGTTATTAATCATAGAAATGAAAGTGGAGCAGATTTTGAGCCTGTGAGCAATGCTGCGCTGTGCAGCATTTGTCATCTCATGCGATCAAGATGGGCATGCACGACAACAAAGTGTCTCTGGCGAAACATCAAGCAGACGGCATGACTTTCAGTCTTAGCGAAGTCACGACACACCGGCTCATCTGAGTTTGGTCATTCGCTGAGGATGAAGATCAGGGAGGACATGTCTGCTGGAGAAGAGTCAGAACACGTCATTCTTCATGTATTCTTTCTTTTATTTCTTTTTAATGTAGCTTTGGGCCCAAAACATGGTAAAGTAACAATTTAACGACTCCACTACCAGAGTCAGCAGTGCTGTTTAGTAGTGACATCTACAATGTAGAGCTGCCATTGATAGTCAATCAATTTATTAGTCAAAACTGCAACTATTTTGACTATTTTTTAAAGCAAAAATGCAAAATATTCTGTTATTTTCAGTTTTTCTTGTCTTGTATGATTGTAAGCTGAATATATTTTCATTTTGGACTGCTGGTCAGATGAAATAGTTCATAATTAATCTTAAAAATGATCGTTAGTTAACTCGCAGCCTTAAAATTATGCGTTTTTTAGATAACTAACCTCCAAACAGCTGATCTAGACCCCCTGTTTTGGGGCATACAGTTATATTGTGAGTCAGTATACAGTAACTGGAAGCAGCCATGAGATAATCCCCTGCTTCACATGTGTGCTGCTGTAACAATCTATAACTCACTGCAGGATGTATAGTGAAGCCCTCCTTAGATCTGACTTTAAGAAACAGATGGGCCTTGTGCTTTAACCCTCTGCCACTAATTAGTGACTGAGTAATTGCCGCATGGCCACCCAGACTAATAGCGACGGCTACTTTGAACACTTTTGAAGCGTGGCGGAGACCTGTGGGTCAAAAGTAACTCGATTCACTCGCTGCTGGCCAGAGGATGCACCATCTGCCCCCCCCCCCACCTCAGTTTAAGCTCTGTCTGAGAAAGCTCAGCATGAAGATGGATCACTTCCCTCTCAGCGAGCATCAGCAGCTAAAGGCCGCGGTTACTCGGATGATCTCGTCCATCAGGGAAGGTGTGGTTCTAAATAGGTTATTAAGGAAGATGCAATTAGCACGGGACTCTCGGGTCTTAAAAAACTGACCCCCATAAATCTCAACTATTTAATCACATCCATGTTCCTCTCTCTCTCCTGGATCGGCCAAGAGACGTCTAAACAAGACGCTTCTCTTTGTCATCTCACCTAAAGTCATTTCCGATCTGTTCTGCAGCCAAAAAGCAGAATTGAGAAAATGTCCATAACTCGCAGCGTGATGGTGATACTACACAGAAACTGCAAACAGACTGGTGCGTATACGGAGGCAGGACGTCGACCAGAGTGTAGCCGGAGGTAGAGAGCAGCACACGTGTTTTAGATTACATCCCAACTTCCAAGCTTTTGTCTTGACCTGAATAGTGGGAAACTGAACTGAAAAAAGCTAAAAGATACAATTACAGTCTTTTGGTTACATGAAGTACGCATTCCTGCGCCTTTTTTTCTTCTTTTTATTCTCTCCATCACCAAGTCACAGTTGGCTTCAGCCATGCAGCGCCCATCTGGGATTGTCTCATCTGGGGTCCTTCTTTCTCTTTTCGTTCATCTAGCTGTGTGTACAGCCTGAGAGTCTGGAGCCACTAAACACAACACGCTGGACTTGGAACAATCGAATTTAGAATCTGGATCACACAGCTGCCTTCCAAACAACTGACTCTTTGCTTCTTTTACGCTCATATAAGTAAGTACCAATGAAGAAGTTGTTATTTATACATGTTTTAACACTAAATGCAATGCATACAAATGTCCCAATTGAACAAGGGAAAGCAGCAGTGAATTGGAGAGACAGTGGGGGAGACAGAGGGAGGTTATGAAGTGGTCCAGAGGGTTACTATCACAGCAGTGAGGCCTAATCTTATTAGTGCGATTGTCAGGATTAGAGTAACCAAGAGACCCAACCAGCTGGATATTCTCTAACGCAGTGGTTCTCAACTGGTCTGGCTGTGGGACCCACCATCACCCCTTAATGACAAGCCGTGACCCACTACCCAAATTATATATATATATATATATATATATATATAATTTGGGTATATCTATATTCAAGAAGTCTAAACATATCTGTGTAGTAAACAAGTGCCAAATCAAATAAAGAAAGTACACGTCAATTATATTTTAACAAATATTATTCTAATTTTTCAAATTTAACTGGATGGATTATAAATAATACATAGAAATACATGAATAAATGGTCTTCTCATTTAAAGTAAAATAATGGCTGGATTAATAAATAAATTTTGTAATGAAATTCATTTTAGAAAAGTTATTTTCATTGAATTGCCCTGCAGCTTTAAATTCAGTTCACACAGGATGAAGTGAAAAGGCCACAATATTATATTTTTCTCATCTTCTAAAAAGAGAATTTAGTGTTGGAAGAATTCACCTCTATGACTCTGGTCTCTCTGGCCAATTTTCTCTTTTGGAAATCGTCCTATGATTTGACTTTCACAACTCAATAGTCCTGCTCTGCTGAATATATCCTCGTCTCTCCCCCATGTGTCACGGTGTGTGTGCATCTCACTCAAGTCAGGAAACTCGTCAGAATACCCATATTTGATTGGATGAGCTGCATCATGTGATGTGATTCACAACGCATTGGTCGGTGTTTTTCCTGCACCGCTGAACAAGTGCCGTAAATGCTGGAATAATTCCGCTGCATAAAAAAATTCCCTTCAAAATAAAATCACATTTTTCTTTTTTTTTTGTCAGTCAAAGGCCCGCGACCCACTGAAAACGGGCTCAGAGGAAAGCACGCAAAAAAACAGCTGAACAGAATGAAATAAATTAAGGATCCTTTGACAGTTAACAACCGCTGTAAGAGGTATGCGTTCAAGTGGCTTGTGGCGTCATTTAACCCTTTTTGCTGAGGAGACACAATATGGACATTTGTCCTTCTGCTGAGTAGATCTCGTTGTATCAACAAACAACAGCACACAAGAATAGGGTTTAAATCGCTGGAGCTCAGGCACACTGCACATGTTGCATGGTGGACTATTGGTAATCCTGCTGCTCTGTAGAGCTTCTGTTTTCCCCATGAATATGAAGTCAACTCAAACTAAATGCAGCTGCTTTCTGGTGCAATTGCCAGGGCTTAATGGCACTCATGACTCCACAGCACTGATTCTTTACGGCCATGGGGTGAGTGAGACTGATCAGCTCTGCGAATAGCATGCGGTGATCTGACCTGGTCATGTTTGTTGTCTTTTAATGCATGTCTGCTCTCAGCGTGTACACAGATCACAGATAAGCTGATTTCCGTAGGAAGCAATGTTGATGCTCACTCCTAAGACATGTGCAAACACATACACACAGTATATATATATATATATATAAATATATATATATATATATATATATATATAT